TCTTCAGCGCTCTGAGAAGCGCTGAGAAGCTTAGGTGTCCCCATGTCCCCCCCCGACCCCCCAACAAACCGGTCCTGGAGTATCTAAAACTCACACTTTAATGTCTGCTTAAACCATTTTCATTAACAAACGTACCAGTTCAGGATGCCCGGGTGGCTCAGTCGGTTAAGCGCCGACTTCGGCTAGGGTCATGATCTCGCGGTCCGCGGGTTCGAGCCCCGTGTCGGGCTCTGTGCTGACAGCTCGGAGCCTGGGGCCTGCTTGGGATTCTGCGTCTCCCTCTCTCTTTGTTCCTTCCCCACGCGTGCTCTGTCTCTCTCTGTCTCTCAAAAATAGACAAACATTAAAAATAATAATAATAAATTTTTTGAAGTGCCAGTTCTGGTGATTTCCACTCATGGATCTCTTGCTGTTGCCGCTAAGAGCCTGGCTGCATGTGGACAAGGCTGCCAAAAGCAAGTCACGATACAAGACAGGCTCAATTCCTACCACACCCCCGGGGATACATCTCCCAAGCGACACACGGGCCTCAGTTTCCCCTTCCTGCTCCGAGCACATGGAGAAGAAAGCCCGTGTGGGCTCAAAAAGGACAAATATGGAATTTCTGCAGCCCAGGGTGAGCCAGCCGGCTCGGCCGCACACAGTGACGTCAGGCTGCCCCTGGCTCTCGTCTGTAATGTCTCTCCTTGTCGAGCCCGCAATGTGACCATTGTTTATTACCTATCGAGCCCCAGCACCATATTTGGCTCTGCACACAAGATTGATAGATTCTTCCTGTCACCGGCCTCACTCGGGTGGCAGGGCTCCAGGCGTCCTCCCCACCTTCCTCTCCTCCTTCCACCTTCCAACAATCCCAGAGACTCTGAGCAGGCCTCCCCACCGCCGCTGCAGACCCCTTTGAAGAAGCTGCTTCTGGAACAAGAGGGAGCTGATGACAGATCCTCAGTTGGCCTCCAAGCTCCGGACCCAGCCAGCCCGGTGAATCCTCCCTGCCATGGAAGCTGCTGACCGTGGTGGGGACTTTCCGGGATCTTCCCCCTCCCCACCTGCCTTTAGCTCCTGCGTCTTTATTGGACGGAGGCCTTGAGATTCATAGGCCTATGATTCACAACATCTGGTGGGGGAGGGGAGGAAGCTGAGACCTAAGGGCCGTTTACACCCCCTGATGGAAAATAGTCCAGTTTGGACTATTTTGGAGTGGAAGTGACACCGACCTGGAAACCAGGGTCCCGTGGTGAGTCAACGGCAGCTTCACGGTGACTTCATTTTGCATTTTGGCCCCAGAGAATTGTGGCATCGGATCAGGAAGGATACGTTGGAAAGCCGAAAGATGGGGAGGTAGAGGTGTGTCAGTCATGAGACTGGGAAGCCCGGTCCTTGCTCTGTCACCAAGTATCAGTGTGACCCTGGCGCTGAAACTTACTACTCCCCGTCACTTGAAGGTCGGGCTCACTGTAACCAACCCAGTGAATATCTGTCTCAACACCTGAAGGTGAAGAGAGGTTCCAGAAGCTCCCGCTGGGGGTTGAGAGTCTGAAGTTGCAGGGGGAGGAGTGAGCCATGCTGAGCAGGCAACGCATTGCAGCCCCCCTCCCCGCCCCCGCCGTGTTGTTTAACCAGGGACACGAGCCCCTCCCCAGACCTACGAGTCTCACTGGCCGGTGGGGGGTTGGGGTAGCTCTTCCACACCAGCCACTCTCCAGTCCTCTGGCACAAGCTGGGTGACCCACAACTCAAACCAATTCCGACACCAACTGACCCCACGATCCTGCCCCCATATCGGACACTGGCTGTTCGCGGGGTCCCGGGGTCACCTGTACCTCCACCGGCTGACTACAAGGTCAGTGCGTCCTGCCACCTGCCCTCAGGCTCAGCAATTCATTGGAAGGACTCACAGAACCAGAAAAGCACTGGGGTGCCTGGGTGGCTCAGTCGTTAAGCATCCGACTTCGGCTCAGATCACAATCTCACGGGCCATGAGTTCAAGCCCAGCTTTGGGCTCCGCACTGACAGCACGGAGCCTGCTTGGGATTCTCTCTCTCTCTCTCTCTCTCTCTCTCCCTCCCTCTCTCTGTCCCTTCCCCACTCGTGCTCTCTCTGTCATATATAAACAAACATTACAAAAAAAAAACCCCAAAAAACAAAAAAGAAAAGCACTATACTTAGAATACAGTTTATCACACAGGGTAGAAATGAACAGCCAGATGAAGTAGTACATAGGGCAAGATCTGGAAAGGTCCCCAGCGCAGAAGCCTCTTTCTCCATGGAGTTGGGGCGCACCACCCTCCTGGCACATGAGTGTGTTTGCCAACTCAGAGGCTCCTCTGTCCTCGTCCTTTAGATTTTATAATGGAGGCTTCAATAAGTAGGCATCGCTGATTAATGATTAATGGCATTGGCCATTGGTGATTGAACTCAATCCCCAGTCCCTCCCCCCTCTCTGGAGATGGAGGATGAGGTGGGGTGGGACTGAAAGTTCCTACCCCGTAATCACGTGTTTGGTTCCTCTGGGAGCCCTCAGGAGTCACCTCATTAGCATAAACTCAGGTATGGTCAAGGGGACCTTTATAAATAACATTCCTGGGGCGCCTGGGTGGCTCAGTCAGTTAAGTGTCCACCTTTGGCTCAGGCCATGCTCTCACAGCTTGTGAGTTTGAGCCCCGCGTCGGGCTCTGTGTTGACAGCTCAGAGCCTGGAGCCTATTTTGGATCCTGTGTCTCCCTCTCTCTCTGCTCCTCCCCCACTCATTCTCTGCCTCTCTGTCTCTCAAAAATATAAATAAACATAAAAAAAAAATAAAATAAATAAGTAACATTCCTATCACTCAGGAAATCCCAAGGGTTTTATGAACTCTGTGCCAGGAACCAGGGACAAAGACAAAATATACTTTTTTTTTTTTTTTTTTACTATATCACAGGTAGACAGAAATATAAATGCATGTGGCAGGTGCTGCAGAGAACTGAGAGCCCCGCCTGCTAACGGGGGGCTACAAAGCGGAAGCGGTCCTCGGACCAGGTTGCGCTTGGAGAGAATCGTATCCGCAGAGGCTCACTATGGCTAGGACACGTGGGATGTTTGAATCCTGACATCCGTCCGACCTCGGACAGGACACTTGCACCTCGGAGGCTCAATCGCTCCATCCGTAAAAGGGGTTGTAACTGCAACACTTCAGGGGTATGATGGGAAACAATGAGACTCGTTAAGGAGAAGCTTAAGACCGTGCCTTGCACGTACTAAGCACTCGGTACCGTTAAGCTCGTACAGCGAGTGAGGATGATGGCGACGAGTAAGGAAAATGAGACGGAGAAATCGTGTGGCTGAAGCACTGGGTATCGTGGCCCCAATTACCTCACGATCCGCGAGACATCTGCTTACTCAGGCAACTATTCACAGACCAGCAGACAACTGGCTCCCAGACAATTGCTTAGTGGTCCGTGGGGTGACCTGTCCTCCTTCACGCTGTGGGAACCACAGGGCTCCCCTCTCTGTAACAGCTTCCTGGAGGCCTAGAAATTTTTGCCTAGTTTGGCTGGCACGGGATCCAGATTTGACGATGCCCCGAATGAGAAAAAACTAATTTTTGCAACAACAGCCGCGAGGTATTTGTTAAACAAAGCAAAAACGCTAATCAAAACAGGAGCGAGAGGGCCAAGTTTTCCTGAGGCCGTCTTCCAGCTCCTGGGAGATAGGCCTCAAAACAGGGCCGAGGAAAGCTGGTGTCCTTTGTGCCCCAGATGCCTCGAGGGAGGGCGACGGGGAGACCCAAGACCCGGAGCTGGCTTGCTCATCGTGGGGCTCACGGATCTCGGAGGCCCTGGGGTGGTCTTGAGAGTGTGGCCGGCCGAGACCTCGGCGCCGAGCTGAGGCGAGCCCAGCATGGGGGACACACGGACAGCTCATGCCCCCAGTCCACCGGGGAGGCCACCTCAGGCCATTGTTTCCTTTGCACCACGCACCACCCCCAGGCACTTCTTCCCCCTTCCCGCAAAAGAAACATCCAGTGCCCTATGTTGAGTCTCAGGGCTGGGGTGGTCTGTCACCCACATCTCTCCAGTGTCTGGGCCCTCCTCTGCAAGCTCAGGCTTGAGGCGCAGGGACAGGAGCTCTGTCAGGCCTTATGCACAGCTCCTCTGTGATCAGCGCTCCCAACATGTGGGCTGGGACCGGAGAAAACCCATCCACAGCTGAGCTCACTGCTGCCTCTCAACATGCCGGCCGTTTGGGGCCTGGTGGTGCCATCTGTATGTGGTCTCCTCAGCCTGCAGTCTGCCTGAGGTCTCACACGAGGGCCCCTGACTACAGAGAAAATGAGATGCTCTCTCACACACACCTCTGTGGAGAGAGGCTCATCCCTCTCTCTCTCTCTCTCTCTCTCCTCCAGCTGGAGGTCCTCAAGAAGCAAACACTTAGGGTCTCCCTTTGGGGTTCGCAATCATGGAGGCCGGGCACTTACCACGTTACCACCTGGCGGCTCCGTCCAGAAAGTGCCAACCCCATGGGTCACTCCTGGGGTCCGGGGCCAGCCAGAGAGGCCACATGGAGCTGCATTAACTCTGGAGGGGTTGTGGGAGGGAAGTTTGGGAGACTCTTTGGCACAGATACCCAAGCCAAGTGAACCTTAAAGAATAAGCAGGAGGGAAGATGATGGGAGCAGACAATAGATAGGACACTCCAGGCCGCACACCATAGGAGCGAGGAAACTGAGGTGAAAACGTGCCGCAGGTTAGGGTGACTTCATGGGCATTTGACCCAAAAAGTCACACAGGCCTTGTACTTGGGGCTTAATGCTCTGTGGCTGCCATTTTGAAATTCTTCATTTTTTTTTTTTTTTTTTTATGTTTATTTATTTTTGAAAGAGACAGAGACAGAGAGAGCACGAGCAGGGGAAGGGGAGAGAGAGGGGGAGACACAGAATTCAAAGCAGGCTCCAGGCTCTGAGCTGTCAGCACAGAGCCCGACTTGGGGCTCAAACTCACAAACGGCGAGATCATGAGCTGAGCTGAAGTTGGACGCTTAACCGACTGAGCCACCCAGGCGCCCCTTGAAATTTTTAATCTTATCCTTGAATTTTTGCTTTGAACAAGGGCCTGCTGTTTCACCGTGTTCTGGGTCCTGCTATTTATGGACCTACCCTCCTGGGGTCCAGGACATGACAGGAAGTTTGGGTTTGAAGTGGGAGGGGTAGAGGTGGCTAAAGGCTAAAGAGATATGCGGTGGCTAAGACCCCCAAATGCTACACCAAGGAGCTCAGGTCCTGTCCCAGAGAGAAGCGGGTTTGAAGGGGGAACAGTAGTTAGGTTTGCATCCCATAAGGGCGTCTCTGAAAGTGGGGTTAAGTTGGGCCTGCGCACGGATGCAGGAAAGAAATACGTTGCTAGTTTTTTCGTTTTTCATTTTCTTACCTGCGATGGTATTTAAGCACATGTCAGCCTTGTTCGTATTTGTCAATAAGAGCTCTTATCCAATACCAAAATAACTGTGACCCTTTAAGAAGAGGACAAAAGATGGGGGAAAATGTAATCATGTCCCAACTTCATTCCCCTGTATATGTCCAGGGTGAGATCCAATCTGTGGGCGAGAGGGTGGAGTGCACATAGCAGACTGGCCCGCGAGAGGCCTCCCTAAAATTGTGTGCTGTACAGAGGGCTTTAACAATAGGCCTACAACTTTCTTGGCTTTTTTTCTATCCTGCATACCAATTATTTTTTCCATTTGCTAGGAACCCAGGGTTGACCTTGAAAAATACCATTCATGTTGGTAAACACATGCTGGTTGTTTTACCAGACATGGAAATCTGTGCGTTAGCTGCGACCTCAAGACACCCTTGCTCCAAAAACAGCCGCCTACAGGTCTCAGCCCAAATGGGCAAGCGTCCAGGGGATCTGAGGCTTGGAGGAGAAGCAGTCGAAAGTTAATGCGTTTATCTGAGCCCCTTTGATCTAAAATCAGGCTGACAATCCTGTGAGGCCAGACTCGCCCGGAAGATTTTCAGGCTTTCCTCAGATTCAGCTGGCCGTGCTTGGGAACGGTCTTCCCTCCAGCAGCCTAGGACTTGGGCTTTGAATAACTTGATGCTACAAATCAAAGTCTCCCTGATATATGAATGAGAGATTTTAAGAAGAAAAGAAATTAGATTTTTTTCAAAGTAGACATCTTGAAACTGACAAACGGGCTGCCTCTGAGTCGGTTTATTTACTTGCAAGATAAACTAAATTCAGTAAAGGAGAAAAAAAAAAAAAAAAGCTCAAATCAACCAGAAATCACAGAAGGCACTGAGAAAATATTACTCTTAGTAAATAATAATTATCCAATTTTTCAGATACTCTGATAGCATTTTCCCTGTTCATAAAAGTAATACATGTAGACTGTAGAAATTTTGAAAATTCAGCAAAATAGAAGATCAATAATAAAATGACTGCCTAAACCACCACACAGAAGTCATGTTGTGCACATTTTGAGGTGTTTCTTCTCAGCTTTGTTTCTACGTACACATTTATAAGTTCTTTCAAAGTCTCTCTGAAGCCTTAAAAAAAAATTGTGTTAACATTTACTTACTATTGAGAGACAGAGAGAGACAGAGCAGGGAAGGACAGAGAGGAGGAGACACAGAATCGGAAGCAGGCTCCAGGCTCTGAGCTGTCAGCACAGAGCCCGATGCGGGGCTCGAACCCATGAACTGTGAGATCATGACCTGAGCCGAGGTCAGAAGCCCAACTTAACGCTCATTTGAAAACGTGATGAGTTAAGTGGCCGTATTTTAAAATCATGGTTTTTTTCTAATTAAAGAAATAAAGTATATGGGGTACAAGAAATTTGTAAAATACAGAAAACACAAAGGAAGACAACAAAAATCACTTGGATTCCAGCCAAAGAAAACTATGATTAATGTTTCGGTATGAACCCTCCTTTTTTTTTTTTTTTTCTTTCCGTTGTATATATGTGCTTTTCTTATTTATTAACAATAACAGTGTACCCCAGTTTACTCTTTGCAATTTTCACTTAATGATACACAAATGAATATTTCCCATAAGAATAAATGATTTTTAATGGCTACCTAGACAGTATTCCTCTGTATAGATGTATAATAATTTACCTAACCAGTCTCCTATGTAGAATTTATAGGTTGTTTGTAAATTTTCATATTGCCAACCATGTCATGATTACCATACTTAGGAATGACATCTGCCTACTCTGCTAACAAATTCTTAGAGTAAAATTCTATTAAAATATATATATACACATATATATTTATTTGATCGATAATACTAAATTGCCTCCAGAAAAGTTCTACGAATTTGTACTTTCACTAGTTCAATCTTTTTAAAACATGATTTAGTGGCAACTGTAATTAGCTCTGTTTTGTCATTTGAAACAATTAAGGCAGAAATCAGTATCACGATGAACGCGACACAGCATGTCCATGAGAAAAGTTACCATCACGCCGATCTGGGATATATCTTCACATGTGGTTGATGTGTACTCTCATTTCATTCTTACAACAATCCCCCAAAGAAAGTTGTTTTTTTTTTTTTTTTTTAATGTGTATTTATTTTGAGAGAGAGAGAGAGAGACACAGAAGACAGAGTGTGAGCAGGGGAGGGGCAGACAGAGAGAGGGAGAAACAGAATCTGAAGCAGGCTCTAGGCTCTGAGCTGTCAGCACAGAGCCCGATGCAGGGTTCGAACCCATGAACTGTGAGATCATGACCTGAGCCGTCAGAATCCCAACCGACAGGACCACTCAGGCGCCCCAAAAAGAAAGTTTTTTAATCCCCATTTTTAGATAACAAAAGCGAAGCTCAGAAACCCCAAAGCCTTTCTTTTTGCACCCATGACACCGTGCTATCTCTCTGAGCCCAGACTTTCGAGTGGCCACCCGGCTGTGACGTAGTCAGAGAATCCTAGCGTGGATCCCGGTCCTACAGACACCAGTCACTTCAAACCTCTCAGACACAAATGCTTCATTTTAAAGGAGTCATGAGATGAACATCCTCCCTTTTGATAAACGTAACGTAAAAGGTCTTGCTCCTGGATTTATTTTTCAGGTAAAAAGAGCTCCAGGGTTTTGTGGTCCTCTCCGGGGGAGGCGGGGGGGCCAGGAATGAGAGGAGGGATGGAGGCTAAGGAAGAGAAAACCAGCTTCCTCAGGGGACTGGGCAAGGTAAGGGAGCGTGTCTTCCAGGTCTATGCTGGCAGACCTCCCGCTTTGAATCAGAAGTAGGGAATTTGCTTTGGTTTCCTGCCTGGGTTGCCTTGTTTATCAGCCACAGGGCAAGAAACATGCCATAGCAATGAAACGAAGTTGACATGTCATACGGGGGGAAAAGGGAGTTATTCAATAGGGCTGAGTCACGGCTCTGCGGCAGGTACAGGATGAGGCATCCCGCAGAAATTCGGAGCGGACCGCCAGACTGCAGGGTTGAATAACAAAGAGCAACAGGTCTATGGATGACCTAACACGCCTTTCTGATTTTGAAATCCCTGGATGGTGAAAACCTAAGAATGACGGAGTCTGAAGTAGGTTTACGTTCGCTGTTCCTTCGTAGCAGAAATCAACCCCAAGGTTGCATAAAAGCCAGGCATTTAATTCACAGTAACAATGTTATTTACCTGGGAAGTTTCTCTTCCCTACAACTGTAAATTCACCCACAAGTGTTGGCGTCTGAGTTCTACCTTTTTACTGTTTTCTTCTCCATCTGCTGCCGCGGTCGACACCCGTCCGCGTGTTCTCTGAAAAGACAGGGCGCCAACAGCGAGCCCAACAACAGCACGCGAGGCAAAGCACGATGAAGAGAGACGACGTCGAAGCTCGTCCGTCTGGCCAGAGACTCTAGGAAACCCCGCTTACGCTTCTGTCCGTCCATCAGCAACGCCCCTGACGGAGCCTCCACCACCAGCTGGCTGTGTGACCCAGCCGGACGTTCATCACTCTATGCCTCAGTTCCCTCTTCTGTGACACGGGGCAATAAGAGGCCAAATGAAGAGGGGACGCTGGCCACCGGCCTGTGACAAGGATCCAGAAATGCCAGCGTCACAACGTTGCTCATTCCATTTCCGTCTTGCTTCATCTGCTACCTTCCAAATCACGGGACGGTGGGAGGAGTTCTAGGTCAGGCATCAGCAGGCCTCATTTTAGTTCAGAATCTATTATTTATGACATTCTTCAAACGGGTAGTTGTGGCAGTAGTAACAGACAACCTCATTTTTGTCCTTGGCCCTCACAATAACTTGTTGCCATAGGTAATGTTATTCTCCTAAAGAGGGTATATAATTTGGCCACGTTGGCTTGTCAACATGAATTTCCTCGAATTCATCCAGGAGAACTGTTTCCAGGGCCCATGATCCTAACCATTATTCGGCCTTAACTTTTCCAAGTTGGTTTTTGGCCCACCCATACCTTATTATTGGATCAGTGCGTGTAAAGGACATTTTGGGGGCCTGTTCAATATATTTTGGGGGGGGGGGAAAGAGATGTTCTTCTATTCCACAAAGTTCCATTAGAGTTATGGGTTAAAGGGCCCTTGGCTACAATCATCCTGTCCCCCAACCAAAAAACCTGGTAGAGGACAGTCAGACCCTCCCCCTTCAATTATGGTATACACAACATGAGAATTTTTCTGCTGGATCTGCTTATCGGGGGCTGGCAGGGGCCATATTTCCCAGAGTGTGGATAAAGGCCCTCCTTTAAAAGAGTAGGACCTACGGATAAACAGGAACAGATAATCAGAATAAAATATGGATGGCTACTTAGAATCCCCAGTTCCAGTTCAGAGACCCTGCTTCTACCCGTTACTCCTTTCAACTCTGTGATCAACCCGGTACTTGAACTGTGTAAACCAACAGCCTCATGCCTGCGTGACTATGAGCCGTGTATTTATTGCTTGCAATCAAAGAAGCAGGGAAGGGGCATGAGGGTAAGCTGTAGACAAAAGGTGCACGGAGGTGAAGTAAATTATTTATCAGTAAAGAAAATAGTATTAGAGACAATAGTCGGAAAAATCAAGTTAGAAAGGGGCCATATTTTAAAAAGCATTTAGTCCAAACACCTCATTTTACAGACGTGGAAACTGATTTGCAAACGCACGAGGTGACCGGCATGATGTTAGGCAACTGGCTGGGGGTGAGCTTGGGATCTGGCTGAATTCAGGTGCCCCCTCCCCCCACTCTCCCAGTACTCTGCCATCACCCGCCCGACCTTCCCAGATAGGTAGGCGGATAGGCAGACGACTGCATTCCAGATGAACGCATAGACAATGGGTAGATACACGGACAGATAAACTGGTGGCTGGACAAATGGGACAAATAGGGCTGATAGATGGAGAGACAGAAACAGATTTAGCAGATTTCATTGTATAATAAAAGCCACTGGAAAGTGGAGATCAAGCTGAGAGACAGCGTGGCTGAAAAAAACACCAGGCTGAGAAAACATTCCAGATTTTATGTCCGGCCCTGTGCTCACTAGCTGTGTTACCTTGGGCGAGTCCCTGAGCTTCTGTGAATCCCAGTGACAGGTACAGACGTGGTCAGGAATACATTGTGAAGAAGCACATTTAGGAATCCTTTGTTAACTGTGAAAGTTTTAATGAAGGTGAGGGGTTCCCGGCCATATATGAAAATCTGTCATAATCACGTGTTCACACTGAGACAGTGAGTTCCTTGAGGATAGGGATTAGCCCCCATGATTACCCCTTGGATCTTAATAAACCCTGGAGACTGGCCTATTCTTCTGAACTGCCTGGAATCTCTCCCCAGTTCTGTTTGTTTCTTTCTTACAACACATTCACATTTCCTACCATCTTGGAAGTGTCCTCTACTTAAAAAAAATAAAAATAAAAAATACACCTTTGGAGAAAAAAAGACATTAGATCCCCTCCTGCACACAGCCATAGAAGCTAATTCAAGTCACATATCAGGTCCAAATGTCAAAACAAAACAAAAACAAAAACAAACCTCCAAGACCATGGAGTAGGGAGAGGTTTTTGAAAACTAGATCAACAGCAACAACAACAACAACAACAACAAAAAGCATTACTCTTAAAAGAAAGCTCGATGAATTAAAATTCATTAAGCCTTGAAATTTCTGTTCGTCAAAGACCCCACTCTCCACTCCAATTGAGTTAAGTTAAACATGTGTTGGTGTGGGTAGCACTGCACGTGAAGTGAGGTGTTCCGTCAAACGTTGCTGCCACATTGAGTGTGGCAAGAATTAAGGATGTCATAGGCCTGGGAGGGTCTTACTGTTCCCATGAGGGCTTTAGCTAGATGGTTTAGGGGCCAGGAGATAGAGCGCGGGTGAACGTGCACAAATCTTTTGCTACCAATGGAAAAATAATCTAACACACATGACAAAACAGATGACATGAATACCTTGAGATAATGGAGGTCTTCTCTCTCTAGACCTTAAGGGCCTCGGACAGGCTCTGGCACAAAAAAAGACCCTTCGTATATGAAGGGACAAAAGATAGCATCATCCTTGCTCAGAGAAGAAAGCTCTTGTCAGATCAGTTTCACCAGGGGCTTTTCACTCTTTTGCGTTCATTAACCTGTGGCTGTCCTCCCCAGCCTCTCTATTGGTCACGAACACCGTATCCAGAGAGAGAGAGAGAGAGAGAGAGAGAGAGAGAAGAGAAGAAAAAGCAGTCAGCAGAACACCCCCAATAACCGTGACATCTACATTGTGTTTTACAATTTGTGCACTGCTTCCAAATATCTCATTCGAATCTCACAACCACCAAGGGAGATCGAGTATTATCCGTCTCATTTTAAGGACAAGGACACTGAAGTTCAGAGAGGTTCTGTGACTTTCACAAGGCCGTACAGGTGACAGGTGGCAAAGCCAGGATTTCAAGTTCAAGGGAGAAGAAAACTCAGTGGGAAGGCTAAGCTTGCCATTAAACCTAACTAAAGGAATAGGGCAGAAGGAAGAAGGCAGCAACTTTTTCACCAGAAATATGTGGTTTCGCTCTTGTCTTGTCGGTAGGGATGTCTCCGCCAAGTTGCACCCAGTTGAAAACAAACATGTAAAAGTCAAGGGCCAATAGTCCCGGGCTGGGTATCTGTCGGGACTCCCCGCCTTGCGCAAACCTACCTCTCGCTTCCGGGATGGATCCGACTTCCCTAACTCTTAGACCGCTTGGATGAGGACTTGGGCTCTCAACATTCGTCTCAGGCCTTTCTCCAAGTTTGCGAAATGATTAGCAGCAATGAACGTTCTACCAGCCACTGTCCACAGATCCTTGCATATGATGGGCCAGTGCGACGCGCTTCGCGTGCACTGTCTCAGTCTTGCAAGAACTCATGAGGTAAGTACTAATTTTGTCCCTATTGGACAAATGGAGAAACTGAGGGACAAAGAGATGAAGTCGTGTGCCCAAGGTCACGCGGCTGGGCCCTCTCGGAGGCTCTGGCCTTGCCATTCTGTGTCCCTCAGCTGCTGGCTTTGCACCATGTGTCGGCTTGGACGAGCCCAGAGCTCTAGGTGACAGCGTTGCCTCGGCCGGCCTGCACCCCAAGAGTCTCCCAACAGACGAGGCAAATCCCCAGAAAGCGGATGATGCTGGAGATGCCGTGGCCTGCCTCTGAGATCTCTCCTCCAGGATGGAGGCTCTTATTGCCCCCCGCTGCCGGAAGCGTTGGCTGCCGAGGGCTCACAGCTGAGACTCCCTCCAGAAACCACCCCTGCCCGATGGGAGTCACCAAGGTCCCCCTCCACCCTTCTGGGGAACAGCGGCAGCCACTGAGTAATGGATGGGGGATACAGGCCCAGCCTTCTGGCCTCAGCTGGGGTCAAGCCCTAAGGACCATCCTGACTCCAGAGCTATTGCAACTACTTCACATTTCCACACCCCTCCCTGTCCCCCCTTTGGCTTCCTCCACCGCCAACCCCCAGCGGGCGTTAGTCCCGAGAGCATCCCCTGATAAATGTCCTGTGTGCACCTTGCAGCCTCAGACCCAGATTCCCAGGAATCCCGCCTAACGCGGAAGTTAATCAAACGTCGCTGAGCAAGGCTTCAGGTCCTGATGACAAAGGGAGGTCTCATGCAGGCTGTGGTCTCAAACCCATCCCAGCGTTTCAGTTTTCCTGCCCACCTGGTCTTTGGCACCGCTGTGCGCCTGTTGGCTCGTTTCTTTTTTCCTTTCGGCTCGCTAGAATTTTCTGGTGTTCGTTACTGTGTTTGTGGGACTCACCTACACCCACAGCCAACAACAGAGCTGTGTTCTTCCCGCGACACTTCTTTTAACCCTGACAATGCCTGGAGTGTCCCAACCTGGGACGTAAGTCACACTGGTCAGGTTCTCGACATAGTCCACACCTGCAGCTGATGTGCACGAAGCACAAACAGACGTGGGCGGGTGTAGGAGTATCATTCGGCCTTGGAGATGGGAGTGTGTCCCTACCGGTAGATCCAGAAGTCTTTGGCCAGTGTCCTGTCTTCCCTCTTAAGCTCAGACCCTCATTTCGTCCATGTCAAGACCCCATCACACATTCCGACAGGCCTCTCAATCTCCTGCTTCTTCTTACTTGAATCTGTTGTCTACTTTGCTGCCAGACTTATCTTCCTAAAGGAAGCTCTCATCAGACTCCTCCCTGCTTAACCACCTTTGTGCTCCCCGCTGCCCACCAAAGGAAGCCACACGTGTCAGCCCGGCATCTCGAACCCTATCCGACATGGCTGAGTTCCCGAGGCAGCCGACACTTCCTGGCCCCTGGGACGTTACTCCCACGCCTTTGTTCAGACACCCATCACGAAACTTCCTGATCCATACAGAGAGCTGCCGACGGTCTGAACCATCTTTCTCTCGTAACTTCAGCTCGGTCTCCCTTAATTCACAGTCGTTGGTATACGTGGTTTCTCTTCCCTCCAAGATTACGAGCAGCTCGGGAGAAGACACACAACCGATCCGAGCGTTAGGACAGTGGCAGACACACAGTGGGCTCTCAAGAGAGATTCACCGAAATGACTTATCATCTCCCAGGGGAAACGTAGGTTGATTCTCTTTCCCTTCTCCCTGCCTTTCCGTCAGTCTTTATATTCCTGAAAGCCATCTGTATCAACGTTATAGGATATAATTATTTAGTTATATCACACACAAAGCAACACGCAGTGTATGGAGACGCTGCCCTTAAACATGCCTTGGGAGAAGGATGATTTGAAAGCTAAGGTAGCGCGGAGGGAAATGAGGTCACGGCTTTAACCGAATGAGAAGAAAAACCTGCCATTTTGAAATGACGGTATTCAAACAGTGTAGGCTAGAGATCTAAGATAAGCCAGGGGTAAAGGTATAAACGATTTTTAGGAGAAATGTGACTTATTTTACGGAAGAATTGATTGAATTCAAAGCCTCGTGCACTACCTTTTGCCTTTTTCTAGACGACTGGACACCGGGCCGCTCCTCCTGGCTTGTGGCGTGGGACTCGGGGCCTGGATGTGTGGGCTCCGATCCCCTCTGCGGGCCAGTTCAGGTTGATGTCCGATGCTGCTCCCGGGCTCCGAGCCCCAGCTCCGCAGACGGCACTAACAGTTTCTCCCAGCCCAGGCTGTCAGAACAGTGGCCTCACATCCAAACACACTTCCCCTAAATTCCTAGGAGTCTTGTTCCCCTGACAAATGCCTGGAAGCTTCTGGGAGGAAGGAAAGTCCTCAGAGCTTCAGAGATAATGAAAAAAAGGGGCAAGATTCGAAGAGTTTCTTAATGAACACAGTGGTGGCTCAGAGCCGCATCTGGACCTGCTGACTATCCTTCCTCCTCCGGACGTTTGCTCGGCAGCTCTAGGTCTTGGGGCCTTCCCGCCAACGGGCTGCTCTGATTCCGGGCGCTGTCGAATTCTGGAATGGGTCCTGGTGGTGAGAAAGGAGAAAGGAGGGAACGACCGTGGTTAATGGTATTTATAAGAAGGATTTGCACACTGTGGAAAATCTATCCCAAGAAATATCTGTGCACGATGTCCTGTGTTTCTTTATTGGAGAGTTGCCTTTACAAGAGAGTCTCTGATCCTGGACATACACACACACACACACACACGCGCACGCGCGCACGTGCGTGCAAGCATGACTCGAGGCCCATTTTTGCTTCAATGCAGGCATGACAACCGATAATCCTAAAGATCCACTCTTGTGACCAATACCGCTCAGGCCCCAGGGACACCTCCTGCATCTCTGGCCTTGAAGTAAAAGGCCCTGCATCCGAGTACCGAGTGCCAAGAAGGTGTGTTTGCACTACTACTGACGTTGGAAATGACCATGACTCATGACTCCAAAGCGTAGAGAGAATTCAAGCAGCAGAAATGCGGGGAGAAGAGGAAACACAAAATCTTTTCCTTGTTAATTCTCCCCTCCTATAGCAAAGATGTAATAAATTCTTGCGTGATCAATAACTATTTCCCAGTAGAGCTGAAAGTCCATTTTCTTCTCTTCACGTTCCAACCCAGGGTCCCTGGGGTGCTAAAAAATGACACACAGGATACCCGACAATTGCGCATACATTTTGCAATACCACATAATTCATATTTCATTACTTATTACACAAATATAGTCCTAGATAGATATATGTGATGTATAAAAGCAGTTCTTTTTTTTTTAAAGTTTATTTATTTATTTTGAGAGAGCATGAAAGAGTGCAAGTGGGGGAGGGGTAGAGACAGAGGGAGAGAGGATCCCAAGCAGGCTCCCCTGTCAGCAAAGAGCCCAACGTGGGGCTCGAACTCGCGAACCTTGAGATCATGGCCTGGGCCGAAACCAAGAGTCAGACGCTTAACCGACTGAGCCACCCGGGTGCACCTGTGTAAAAGCAGTTCTCGACATGAGCAGCTAAACAAATTTTACTAGAATTGCAAATAGTTTTATTTTTATAAAAATACACACTGGGATGTAATTATATACTAAAAAAAATCTTCTAAAAACCTTCAGATCTACTTAAATAATTTTATTTTAACTTTTCATATTCACTAAGTAATTTGTATTTGCATTTCAGTCACAATGGATAATTTTGAATATTTTGGAATAAAAATTAGTTTTGTGAAAACATATCTAAAATAATTAAATTTTTAGCTTCTCACATTGATGCTAATCTACATGTTGATTAAAATATATCAGAATTTTGTATATTTTAATATAATTACATTTATTTTTAATCTGTTAGGTTGTTGCTATCACTGGAACACAGATTGTGAAACTCTTGATTATAAGAATATAATTAATGATTTTACTGAAATGAAGGTAAGAAGATGAATTTTATTAAATAAATATATAATAATTTATAAATTTCTGTCTTGGGGCATCTGGGTGGCTTAGTAGGTTAAGCATCCAACTTTGGCTCAGGTCATAACCTCACAGTCTGTGAGTTCGAGCCCCACATCAGGCTCTGTGCTGACAGCTTGGAGCCTGGAACCTGCTTTGGATTCTGTGTCTCCCTCTCTCTCTGCCCCTCCCCTGCTCACACTCTGTCTCTATCTCTCTCAAAAATAAATAAACATTTAAAAAATTATAAATTTATGTCTTTATTCTTTAGTCATCCAACCAACGCTTGCCAAACAACATCCCAGACAGGCTTACAAAGGATCATATTC